TGAGAGGAAGAGATACTGATAAGGAAAGGACTATGGGAGGTGTAGTTTTGCTGAGTACTGATGGCACTACATTACAGAGGAGGGGAAACTATAATTTTCAGAAAACTATGTGACTGGAGAGGAGGAGTAGAGGGGAGTTGAGAGAATCACTTGGGGAGGTTCAAGGCACTTGGCACTGGACTGAGGAAAGAAGGAGAAGCCCAGCTGATAATGCTGAGCCCTCAAAGCACTTGCCTCCAGTGTGGCCTAACTGGCAGCAATTTAGTGTTTCAGTGAGGGTCCTCCTGTCTGTCGGGTGTCCCCAAAGCAAGTAGCTTGCTATTGGGGCACCCGCTGCTCCGTGTCCATTCGCACACAAGCTGTGGCTTGGCTCTGTGCCTCTCTCCCCTCATTGGCTGACTGGCTGCATAGACTGCATGACGATAAAAAACCTTCAGCTTTTACAACCACTTTAATAAAAGGATGATAATCCATTTATTTTGCACAAATCGTGAGACATACCTTGAGTTTACTACATGGGAAATGGAAACAACAGATTAGTTTAATTTTCAAAATGTATCATTAGGGATGGAAGTATTTTAAAATATGTTTATAGAATATAATACATTTCAAACTAATATTTTCATATAGCTAGAACCCTTTTATCAGTTTACTGTGGGGAAAGCCGCTTGACAAATTTAAAACGTCAGTCTATCCAATATTGTATTTATGATGGGCAGCACAGTGGCTAAATGATTAGTACTTCCGCCTGGCAGTACTGGGGTTCGAATCCCAGCCACGGCACCACCTGCCTGGAGTTTGCATGTTCTCCCTGTGCCTGCGTGGGTTTCCTCCGGGTACTCCAGTTTCTTCCCACACTCCAAAGACATGCTGGTAGGTTAATTGGATTCTGTCTAAATTGGCCCTAGTATGTGTATGTATGAATGTGAGTTAGGTATGTTAGATTGTACACCCCTTGAGGGTTAGGGACTGATGTGAATGTACAATATATATGTAAAGCGCTGCGTAAATTGACGGCGCTATATAAGTACCTGAAATAAATAAATAATGATGGAACTTTCTGAGTTTAGCTGCAACCTTAGTTCTTAGATCTCTGGATAATTCAAGCCATGCAGCTGTTCCTGGCCACCTTTACATGTACACATTCCTTCTATTGCATTTTACATTATATACAAAAAATAAAAATATCAAACAGGGAGAGTGGAACGCTTTGATAGAATCACAGCATGCATGCAAATGTAGGAACTATAGGTTGAAATCCCACCACCATAATCTGAAAGAGATTGGTTGGTAAAACAACATAAATTGGATATTAGTTACAGAAGTAGAATGTATATAAATAAAACATATACAAATAATGTAAACACATGAACAATGTAAAAGTGGCATTAAGCACAAGAAATGGTCACCTTGAAGTTTTAGCCCAACTGAAGTTGAACAGGCAGGCTAAATCTAAGTGTCTTACTGCTGTAAGTAGCACAACTGTTCTCCACAGCCAGTCCCAGCATCAACTAATTATAGAGCTCTAGCTATGGAAGTTGGGGTGTTCTGGGCCACTGAAGAGTGTCTGCTGCTTCCTCACAGTTTGCAGATCTCGTTGCCCCTACCACAGGAGAGATGTTGGGACTGGAGTTGGAAAGTAAGTATACTGCTGAAATGTGCATGCTCTTTTTATGAAACTGAAATCGGGCTTTAAAGAGTTCAAATGTTCAGCATCTACCAAAGACTAAAATCTTTGTTTTTAGTGATCCATTTAATACTTTTCTTTTTTCTTTGGGGGGTTATTTTACTTTATCTGTATATACTATATATATACAGGTGAAACTCGAAAAATTAGAATATCGTGCAAAAGTTCATTTATTTCAGTAATGCAACTTAAAAGGAGAAACTAATATATGAGATAGACTCATTACATGCAAAGCAAGATAGTTCAAGCTGTGATTTGTCATAATTGTGATGATTATGGCTTACAGCGCATGAAAACCCCAAATCCACAATCTCAGAAAATTAGAATATTACATGCAATCAATAAAACAAGGATTGTACATAGAACAATATCAGACCTCTGAAAAGTATAAGCATGCATATGTACTCAGTACTTGGTTTGGGCCCCTTTTGCAGCAATTACTGCCTCAGTGCGACATGGCATGGAAGCTATCAGCCTGTGGCACTGCTGAGGTGTTATGGAAGACCAGGATGCTTCAATAGCAGCCTTCAGCTCTTCTGCATTCTTCGGTCTCATGTCTCTCATCCTTCTCTTGGCAATGCCTCATAGATTCTCTATGGGGTTCAGGTCAGGGGATTTTGCTGGCCAATCAAGCACAGTAATCCCACGGTCGTTGAACCAGGTTTTGGTGCTTTTGGCAGTGTGGGCAGGTGCCAAGTCCTGCTGGAAAATGAAGTCAGCATCCCCATAAAGCTCGTCTGCGGAAGGAAGCATGAAGTGCTTCAAAATCTCCTGGTAGACGGCTGCGTTGACCCTGGACTTAATGAAGCACAGTGGACCAACACCAGCAGATGACATGGCTCCCCAAATCAACACAGACTGTGGAAACTTCACACTGGACTTCACGCATGTTGCAGTGTGTGCCTCTTCATTCTTCCTCCATACTCTGGGTCCTTGGTTTCCAATGAGATGCAAAAGTTGCTCTCATCAGAAAAGAGGACTTTGGACTACTGAGAAACAGACCAGGTCTGTTTTTCTTTAGCCCAGGTAAGACACTTCTGACGTTGTTTGTTGTTCAGGAGCAGCTTGACAAGAGGAGTATGACATTTAAAGCCCATGTCCAGGATCCGCCTGTGTGTGGTGGCTCTTGATGCACTGACTCCAGCCTCAGTCCACTCCTTGTGAAAGTCCCCAACACTTTTGAATGGCCTTTTCCTGACAATCCAGGCTGCAGTCATCCATGCTGCTTGTGCACCTTTTTCTTCCACACTTTTCCCTTCCACGCAACTTTCTATTAATGTGCTTTGATACAGCACTTTGGGAACATCCAACTTCTTTTGCAATTACCTTTGGAGGCTTTCCCTCCTTATGGAGAGTGTCAATGATGATTTTCTGCACAACTGTAAGGTCAGCAGTCTTTCCCATGATTGTGATTCCTACTGCTCCAGTCTGAGAGACCATTTAAAGGCTCAGGAACCCTTTGCAGGTGTTATGGCTTAATTAACTGATTAGAGTGGGACACTTTGTGCCGAGAATATTGCAATATTGCAATAATATATATTATTATTATTATTTGGCAAATTGTTTTAATACATTAGTTCCCCTTTATAGCATTTTTTATTTTTTTGCACACATGTTCATGTCTGCATTTTTGGATACAAAATAGCTTAAACCCCCCAAAAAATAATATATATTTTCATAAAGTAGAAGCCCCTATAGAATAACAATATAGTAGTTTTTTTTTTTCTTTTAACAATATTTGTGCAAATCTATATTTGTTTTAGAAAAACATACAAGAAAATGAATTTTATTGCACACAGACACAATGTAATCTGAAATGTTTATGTACAAAATAAAAAATGAGGCAGTTTAGAGTAAATAGATACCAAATGTGTCAAGCCTCAGAATGGTACAAATGTATCTCAAATAGATACAAAATGGTGTACAATTGTGGTGCCCAAAATTATCAATAGGATACAGTTTAAATGCCTGCTCATTAATTTAGAGTATATCATAAATTATAGACAGGTGGCAGGTCCTCTTTATGGAGACATTAAGGGCATAACCATAAACAATAATATAAAAAAAATAAAATAAAAATGTAAAAAAAATTATTTTACAAATTATAATTTTTGGTTATAAACTAATTTGGGTATTTTTTTTTACTAAAAAGATAACGGAATAAATTTTGGCCAAGATTTATGATGAAATAATATTTATTTGCAAAATTTTATAAGAAAAACACTTTTTTTTAAAAAATGTTGGACTTTTAATTTACATAGCAAAAAAAAAACCCTAAAAATCCCAGTGGTGAATAAATACCACCAAAATAAAGCTGTATCTGTCTCAAAAAAATGCTAAAAAAATTCATATGGGTACAGTGTTGCATGACTGCGCAATTGTCATTCAAAGCGTGATAGCGCTGAAAGCTGAAAATTGGCCTGGACAGGAAGGGGGTAAAAGTGTCCGGACTGGAAGTGGTTAAGCTGTAGTTTTCTTTTCCTCCCTTTCAGTGTCAATTGTCACATTTTTGTTTTTGACTTCTGGGGGGAGGGGGGGCTGTACACAGCTTCCTGAAAACATCACAATATCCAGCCTCAGTACTCCTCTCAAGACCCCCCCCCCCCCCCCCAGCCAGCCCTGACATCCTCCAGCCAGGAAATGAGGCGGGATCTATCTGACTTGCCGCAACTTCCAATGCACAATGTGAGAAGCTCCCAGTGTGCAGTAACCCACATGGAAGAAAAATATATTTGAAATATATTTTTAAAACATTCTTCCCAAATATATTGACATATATTTGAAAATCTAAAATTTTGGCCGTATTCAATATATTTCAATAAATATCCTAGATTGTAAGCTCGAAAGAGCAGGGCCCTCGAACCCCTCGTATACTGTTTTGTTACTGTATTGTCTCATGTACTGTCCCCCACTACTCTGTACAGCGCTGAGTAAACTTTTTGGCGCTATATAAATACTGTATAATAATAATAATATTAGACCCCAATGTCTCCCCAGCCTTCCAATGTAACTAATCAAACATACATTATGCTTGATTAGCTATTACAACAGTCAGACAATGACAGCTCTGAAACTGGAAATGCTCAGAGTTGAGCACTTTCAGCTTCAATGACAGTAGAGACGATCAGGGAATGTTCCCCAATCTCCCCCCACTCACTATCCTGAAATCAAAGGTGGTGAAATGGTTATAGACATATTCATTTTTTATTTGGCAAATTGTTTTAATAAATGCTCTGCTAAGGCTGACAAATGTACAAAAATGTGAATGAATATATATATATATATATATATATATATATATATATATATATATATACACACTATATTGCCAAAGGTATTGGGACACCCCTCCAGATCATTGGATTCAGGCATTCCAATCACCCCTATGGCTACAGGTTTATAAAATCAAGCACCTACAATAGGCATGTATACTGCTTCTACAAACATTTGTGAAAGAATGGGTTGCTCTCATGAGCTCATTGAATTCAAGATTGGTAGCATGATAGGTTGCCACCTGTGCAATAAGTCCATCTGTGAAATTTCCATGCTACTAAATGTTTCACAGTCAACTGTTAGTGCTATTGTAACAAAGTGGAAGCAACTGGGAACAACAGCAACTCAGCCATGAAGTGGTAGGCCACGTAAAATGACACGTAAAATGACAGAGCAGGGTCAGAGCATGCTGAAGCGCACAGTGCGCAGAAGTCGCCAACTGTCTGCGGGGTCAATAGCTAAATACCTCCAAACTCTGTGTGGAATTCAGATTAGCAAAACAGTGTGTAGAGAGCTTCATGGAATGGGTTTCCATGGTCAAGCAGCTGCATTCAAGCCTTACATCACCAAGTGCAATGCAAAGCATCGGATCTGGTGGTGTAAAGCATGCCACCACTGGACTGTAGAGCAGTGGAGACGTGTTCTCTGGAGTGACCAACCACGCTTCTCTGTCTGGCAATCTGATGGACGTGTCTGGGTTTGGCGGTTGCTAGGAGAACAGTACTTGCCTGACTGCATTGTGCCAAGTGTAAAGTTTGGTGGAGGAGGGATTATGATGTGGGTTTGTTTTTCAGGGGTTGGGCTTGGCCCCTTAGTTCCAGTGAAGGGAACTCTTAAGGCGACAGCATACCAAGACATTTTGGACAATTTCATGTTCCCAACTTTGTGGGAACAGTTTGGGGATTCCCACCTGGTTTTCCCACCAGTGCACAAAGAAAGGTCCATAAAGACATGGATGAGCGAGTTTGGGGTGGAAGAATTTGACTGATCTGCACAGAGTCCTGACCTCAACCTGATAGAACACCTTTGGGATGACATAGAGAAGAGCCTGCAAGCCAGACCTTCTCGTCCGACATCAGTGCCTGACCTCACAAATGCTCTCCTGGAAGAATGGACACACTCCTAAACCTTGTGGACAACCTTCCCAGAAGAGTTGAAGCTGTTAGAGCTACTCAATATTGAGCCCTACAGACTAAGACTGGGATGCCATTAAAGTTTATGTGTGTGTAAAGGCAGGCGTCCCAATACTTTTGGCAATATAGTGTATATACTGTATATTTACTATATTGTATTTAAAAGATATATCATTAGGGAAAACATGTTAAAATGTTTTTAGCATATTTAAATGAAAGTTTAAAAAAAGTTTCCCAGAAATCTACCTTTTCCTATTGTAGAAATTTACTGTCAATCATATGTGCTAGGTTGAAGTTCCTGACATTTTAAGCCCCTTGTGTTATTCTAAGATGAAGAACACGATATGAGAACCAAAACTAAAGGATTTTCTCATTGAAGCCACTTAATTTTTATTATTTATATGATGGAGATGCTGATATTTTTTTTAAGACTAAAGTGCATTTATTAATGTGCTTTCCCAGGTGAACAGCATGCTATAAAATTAATACAAATAACATATGAAAACTTTTCTTTATATACCATGATCTTAGATATACTTCTAAAAGCAGCTACACTGCTTCAAGCCATTTCAGCTACAGCTCTGACCATGGATGTTGGCCATCAAGGATCATCCTATCCTCCTGGCATGCAAAGCTTCCATCAAGAAAAGCAGCACCCAGGGGTGGATTGACCATTTGGAAACTCGGGCACTGCCCGAGGGCCCGGGGTCAGTAGGGGGCCCCATGAGATGCCTCTGGTATCTTTTTCATAGGCTTTTTTGAGTTTGGGCAAGGACACAGGGGCCCCATGATCCCCTATTGCCCGGGGGCCCCATGAGTTGTCAGTCCGCCCCTGGCAGCACCCCAACCTTATTAGGCTTAAAACCAACTTTATTACTGCAGTATTATTATTATTATTATTATTACAGGATTTATATAGTACCAACAGTTTATGCAGTACTTACAGTATTTTTACCCTGCCAGGTTCTTCATCCTGATGCATCTGCCACCAATCAGGGCTTAATCAAAGATTTGGAAGGTAAACATGCCACTTGGTACAATAAGGTTAATCATATGGGGGATGGACAACATGGTAAAGGTCAGCACTTTCAGAGGAGTTTACTGCCATTAGCAAATGATAAATTAACCAAGGGTTACTTTTGTTTAACAGAATGCAACTTTACATTTAGTAGTTTTTTTATTCCCCAATTAGACCTAAAGTTCATCTTGAAATTCCCTTTGCACATGACTGGATGTTTGAAGTGAACACAAAATCATATCACTGTGTTTAACTTAATCAATCCCACTTCACTTAGCACCCCCCTCAATCTTTAGTATATCAATTACCGAATGTTTCTAATTTTAAATGCTTGTGACAGAAGTAAATAGTATCTAAACCCCAAATACACAAAAACATTATATATTATTTTTTGGTCCATAGATGTGATAAGCACATTGCCTTTTTTTCAGGCTTTTTTTCCTTTATTTTCACCTGGTGATCCTGCTAGTAACACACTTTCTGTCCTAGGGTGACAACGCTTGCTCATAAAGGATTTTTAAAGAAGTAGGATTGTCACCCTAGGTTAATAAGAATGATTACTGAATACCTTCCCTCCCCAGTTGTTCTGTAATACACAAAGGAAAACTTAAGCAGGCTGTACATTGTTTTGAAATTTAAATGCAGCACAGGCAGAGATTTTCGTTAATGGCTAAGGTAAAGAGGTAGGGGGAAAAATCGACACGAGCACTTCTGTCCTATGAGACCCGCAGCTTTAATATCTGGAGTGAGCCAGATACAGTGAGAGCTGTACTATCCCACTGAAATACAAATTATTGATTTTAAGCAACTGTGAAATGATCTGGCCACTTATTACAATTTTTTTTCATAAAGATATTTTAATACACATTATTCTGGTCTGTATTTTTTTTTTTTAGCTTACTCCATTAGTCCTAAAAATAAAGTCAGGGGGTTGCTCTTCACATTCTATTCAAGGGTGATAAAGTGGTAAAAAACCCCCCATATAAGGGGCGTGGCCGAGCCGCGAGTGAGATGGCCAGCATAGGTTGCAGAGCTACCCGACCGGCCGGATCTTACTTGCTGCCGCTCTGCACGGCACGGGTGAAACATCTCCCCTCCTGCTATGGGGAAGTCTGACAGGGCACCCCTCTGGGGCCAGATCGCGGTCCCCCGCGGGCCCGAACACACAGGGGAGGGCATATAAAGGAGCACTTCCGCTCCCAGCAGAAAGCAGGGCCGCAGCCCTCTCTCTCCTCCAGCGTCATCCCCTCTCCCCCGTCCCTCTGCGTCTCTGACACTAGCTCTGCAAGCAACAGCCGAATATGCTGTGCTGGACACAGTGCCGACAGCTGGATTCCTCATGGGTGCTACACATTCCCATATCATAAAGGGACCTATCCAGCTGTGGCAGCTGATAAAAGACCCCACCTAACCGACCACATTAAACCTCTTTGCCCTAAGCTGAATTAAGGGATACATCCGTTCTATGGGGCACAAGGGTGGAGCGGGTGGAGCTGGATACTAGGCAGAATCCGGCACTTTCTGATCTACAACAAACTATCAGCGCTGCACGTGTCGACCATTCGAGATTTTTTCTAGACATATTGAGGACCTAGACAATCGTAGGACGCAGACGCAATATTAGGGTTCGGCTGGGCCTTCCTGAATCAGTGGGAACCTTGTGATGTCCCTAAAGCGGTAATAGCTATCTTTAATGGACCTTCTAGGTCGCCCACCTTCAACCCATGATTGCTATTGAACGTGTTACACCGGCGACCCGCCTAGGGGGGAGACACAGACCCTCCCAAGGACATAATTTGCTGTCTATGAAAGTTACCCGCTTTAAAGAGGATATCCTCAAATGCGCCAGGGGGAGAAGAAAATCTTGCCTATGAGGGCAGTAGATACAGCTATATCAGGACCTCTCCAATCTGACCCTGCAAACAAAGGCGGGCGCTGCGCCCCCTATTGATGCTCTCCCCCACGCATGCGCAACATCCCCTATAGATGGCGGGTTTCCGTTCTGCCTTTCTGCTCAAGTGAATGGCCAAATTTTCAACCTAACTAGTTCCTGAGAAGGAACTGCCATCTTTTTGCTCTGCTTTGGATATCCCTCCGATTATTAATAAAAAAAAAAAGCCTTACCCCGATTGGAACGGGGTCTAATAGAGGTTGCCACGTGCCCAAGATCTAAGAGCTGAAGATTGGTGCAAATGGCGTGGCATATCCCTGCTCAACGACGGCCCCAGGACGGTCCCATTCGACACCTCCAAGGACCACCCTGCAGGGGACTCTATGGACACTTCCAGTCCCACCCTCCCGGCGCACAGGAAAGCCACTCGGCACGGAACTAATGATCCCGCCACGTCCAGCAGGCCTTCCAGCCTCCGTTTTTTCAGTTTTCCTGCTGATTTGTGTTTGGCCACTACTTGGGCTTTGAGTTGGGGCTTTACGGGTTTGCCGCAACGGTTACTGTTGCCTCTTTAACAGTCCTCCTCCGCAGGCTCTAGTCCTCCATTGTTTGATATGCCACCTCCCTCAGTTTTGGGTGATATTTATTAGCATACAGGTCAGGAGACTTGTTCAAGATCGACACCCGGTATACACCCCATTAGATTGCGGATTCTCATTGCTCTAAACAAGCCTTCTGCTCTTGCTATGGATCCTGCGCTATTGCTTCGTGGAACTATCTCTCAGCAGATCCTGACTACTGAAGAAGAGCGGTTCCTTGCTCCTACGCAGGGTCTCTATTTCCTTCCTGGATGCCCGGTTCACTTCCTGTTTTTAAGTTCCTCTCGTTCAGGGTTTGGGTGAAAGCCTTCTCGGGAAACCGCGGCTCCTTCAAGTTTGTTCTGCACTGCAAACCCAGGCCGTGACCCGGCGTCATCTGAGATTTTTACAGCCTTTTGGATTTTATTTGACCGGAGGGAGTTGCCTCCGCTCCTGGCTTCGGACACGTACTCTATATGATACCCTGTTACATCTGATATCCTTTTTGAGTTCTGCACTAGATACGGGATTTTGATAGGGGCAGTTGTTATTACGGGGGGGGTGGTGGTGGGACGCGGGGGGGGGGATCTACCTCACAATGTTGCTGCCAGGGGATTGTAGAAGCTCTGATAACATCCTAAACAACGCCGATGTGAATGACCATCACCTGACTGCGCACTTTGAGGCCTCATGGAGCCAGGTGGTGTACCCTCCTGTGACCTGCTCTTATGATAAGCGCTTGCTGGCTTGTTTTGTGGCTCTATGTATCCCCCCAGTCCTAAGGGTGTGTCCCCCCCTCCTTTCAGCATTGTTATAAGAGAGGTGCTGCTCTTTCTCGTGGGTGTCCATAGGGGTTTTGTGGTAATATCCGTTCCATATTTTGCCATGCTTAGTTGAGCATCGTCTCCACGGGGTACACCA